TAAAACTTCTTTTACTTTTATTCATTTTAGGACCTCCCTTGACTTGGCAAAGATACAAGGCCATAACTAAAATGTAAAGGTGCACACGTCATGGGATATTCCCTGACTTGGGACAAGATGGCTTCCTAAAGTCTGAACATCTTATCTTAATGTGTATACTAAAACTTTTTTACTTTTATTCATTTTAGGACCTCCCTTGACTTGGCAAAGATACAAGGCCATAACTAAAATGTAAAGGTGAACACATCATGGGAAATTTCCTGACATGGGACAAGATGGCGTAAGTCAGGATGATGTAGCATAGCCTTGAAGATGTTATTGCAGTACTTGTTTTGTATTAATGTGAGGATATTTATTGGGTGATAAATATTAAAAATATTTTCATAAAAATTATCAAAGATTAATTTAATATTTTTTTTTATATAAAAAAAATTGATATCTTCACAGAAAGCGAGTGACCGTGGCTACACAGCCAGCAGGGGCACCAGCCTGCAGGGGCACACCCAAGATGGCCGCCCAGCAGGGACCAAAGAGAGGGAACACTGGCAACCATACATATGCTCACCCCTTGGAAGCTCTAGACCATCTCTGCTCGAGCTTTCACATGATCTTATGTGACAGGGGAGTGTCCTACCCTCTAGCAGCTCAAATTGTGGCCTCGTGGATCCGCCCGGTGACCCGCCGCCGCCATTATGGACTCCCACTGCGGGCCTTCGGGGCAGCCATCCGACCAAGCAAGCAACGGCAAACGCAAGGGCGGGAAACCTCGGGCGCCAGCACCCGCGCTCCAGCAAACCAGAGCGGGACCCACCAACATGCACAACCTGCTCCGCACACAATGGCCCCGACAACCTCCGACCAGCAGAGCGCAACCCAACACAGGAGAACTCAGGATGCCTGCCGTGAGGATGACCAACATACAGCAATGCGGGCTACCAGAAAGCGTAACAGGCAGAGAACCCCGACAAGGATCACCGCAGACGGAGCTTTGATGGGACACCAGTCCTACCCTCACCATCGGTGCACCTGGCAAGCCTCCATATACCCTCACTACCGGGGTTTCCGTTTCCCAGATGTGGGAGTCGGCTGACTGTGATCGGGACACTGACCAATACAGCTCCCGGCTAACCTGCAAATTACAAGACTGGGAGATGACCGCTCAAGACAGGGGCCGAGGCGCAGACACTCTGGTGGTCTTGAAACTTTTTATGTTGCCTAGGTACCCTTTTACAAGCAGAGAATGCCATAGCTACCAGTTTATTTAAAAATTGTGGATTACATATTATATGTCCCATGGTTGATGCCTAAGTTTCCCCCCCTTTCTTTTGGTCTCGCATAAGCTGTCTTACTAATTGTTAATCTATATGATTGCATTCACCATTATTTTCACATAAATTATTAGTTATGTGATGCCTCATAGCGGCCTACATAGGTTTCTAATGCTGCCAGGGAGGCGCAGGCCTGATGGGATAACAACTGACCCCCTTTTTATTTTATAACTTAGCCCGGAACACTCCTGACCAGCATAATAGCTACCTGACGATACAATAACAGCCACGGCACACACCACGCAGATTAAGCTTCCCTATTACCATCAACATATGAATGCAAGTTAGTGGGCCCTACCCTAATGCCTAGTTAGCTATTATGCAGCATAATACTCTTTTGGCTAGATAGCACAACGAATCTACTCACTGTTACGAGCAAAACTCTGCCATGAGACCCTTTATTGTTTTTTACTCGAATCACTCTTATAGAAGATTGCTTAGAACTAGCATGTTGACGCAGAGTGCATCCCAGCATAGCATTTAGCTTAACTTTATTCATACACTTAGTAGATATGCACTCAGATGACTGAATACAATAGCGATACACAGTATAATGTTAACTAAGCTTGTTTCCTACCATGTTATTACTCAACTACCTTTAAACATAAAATTTGTGCCAGATATTGCATGTACCCCTCTGTTAAACTGTCTACAAAGCGTTGGAGGAATGCCATTGGGGTACCTCACAACCGACTGTTAAAAGCCTATGCACAACAAAAATAAAGAATAAAAAAAAAAATTGATATCTTGGCACGGTTTCCCTGATTAATGATTTAAAGCTGAGAATTATCCACTATTTAAATTCTCCTAGATCCTAGAGTACGTTTCATTTGAAGATTTTACTTCACACATTAATCACAAATTAATTATAAAAACATAATTTATTGTGACAAATTAATAATCATAATAATATGTATAATGAAAGTATACAATATGGCAGTGGTGTTAACACAATATAGACAGCTAAGTAGCAACGGTTATATGCAATAGTTGTATGCAGTTTTCAGAAGATTTACAACAGGACAATTTACTTTGAAATCAACTTAACACAGCAGCACAGCATAAAGCAATCAAAACTTTGGCTGACAGTCAAATCACACTGAATTAACTCTTTCACTGCTAGCTACAATCATCATAGGCAAGATATCCTATTATATTGCAATTTTACAACTACAATAATTCTCATACCAGATCATTTACCATTCCTATCCATCCAATAAGAATAATTCCAACCAGAGTTTACAATTGTAGAATTTGAACTTTCCTAATTAAGACTCACTATCTTTAATTTAGAACAAGTCAATACCTCTGGTTAAAAATTTGGTATGCTAACATTTGGCAAATTTACCATTAATATATTGTTATCTTTATTCCACCTGCAGGAATGGAATTTTTATAAACATATATTCCATAGCTATTTATGATTTCTAATAATTGAAATCTGACCAACATTTATCCAGATATATACTCCTGCTATTAGTAAAATTATTTAATTTAATTAAATAAACCCAGCATAATTATCAGTTAGGTTGTAGATTTTCCCAGGAATTATGAATGCAAGTATGATGGGAGAATTGTATGAAAAGAGAGTTCAGAATTTTAGAGAATTTCAAAGTTGTTAGTTGAAAAATTTAAAGAATTAGGTGTGTCCAGCTTTATCTCCAGATGTCAGATCTTAGATGTTAAGTGTGAGTCTTGAGTCCAGTCCAAGAGTCTTTCTCCCCCTTGTCCTTACTTTTTAAAGGAGACAATTCTCTGCACGTCACTAGTTGATCGAACCGATAGGGAACTGTGTGCGTGTCTTCCCTACAGACTATCATCTAGATTTTGGTCAGTAGATGGCCCAATTACATCACCGAAAATTCTTGTTAGCGGTCCATTTACCTTTTTGTATAATGGGTTAACTGAAATTCGTGAAGCGTTTGACATCATGTTGCTTATCTCTTATGGCTACTATACATCACAGAAGCATTTTGGTTCACTTCTACGAGACATAGCGTCTTCATTTTCGGTCATAAATTTAAAATTGGCACATGAAGCCTTAATTTCACCCTTCCTTTAGTTTTTTTTTTTTTAGAAAGTAAAATTCATCTGTCATTAGTGTCTGGTTCTCTTGTGTGAAACTGTGTAGTTAGTATTATTTATACATGTCTATTACACATATTCCACTAACGTTAGTAAATAACATGACATTTCTTCATTGATATTATATCCATGAATATTCTATATTATTAACATAGTACTAATTATATATGATTAATATCATAATAAATTATATGTGGATATTGTGTGTGTATATATATGTGTATACATGTGTCTCTGGTTTGGTGCATCCAACCCCCCCTTTTGCTGTAGCCAAATGTTTACATAAGTGGGATTCCTTAGCTCAGACCTGAATGAATAGAGTTACAGAGAGAGAAATTTGTGTCTGTCTTAGCTTTGTAATACAAAATGGAGTCACCTCTGTTCTTATGGTGACTTACAGTATACACTTCTAATTTCTATCTTAACACAAAATGTCTGCCAGTATAAATATACTGACATTAAGCTAAGACAAATTGGCGTAAACATATTATGCACTGAAAGTAGGTAAGAGGTTATTGCTTAAAGAAACATGTATGAAAAACAATATGTTCCATTTCTATTGCCTTGTCAGTTTGCAATATCTCTTATAGACAAAGTACACAGTTTAAGAAATACAACATTTCATTCTAAAACTTGTAATATTTGCATTTGCCCATAACACAATAGTCGTCAGTTTCGTTGGGGGAAAAGTGGTCCTGGTGATGTTCCCCATAGTCTCTAATGTGCGGTTCAGGTGTGGAATGGGGGTGATCACGGGGGTAGCTACACAGTGGGCTTGTCGGGGGGGCGTAAGGACTCGGGGTAGTAGCATACCGAGTTCCGGTGGTTGTAAGTCGGGGCATCATGCAGTTCCACTCGATATGCCCAGGTTGGTTACAACGGAAACAGCAGCTTTGGGTAAAGCCCGCGGTGGAGGGTGTTGTGCTCTGGCTGGTGGTCCTGGAGCTTGTCGCAGTGGCTGGGTAACCAATAGAATAGTTTGGGGAGAATAGGCGGGTTGTGCTCCTGAGTGTAGGTTTGTGGGTCGCCAGGTATCTATGTACCAGTCTGCAAGTTGAGCAGCGGCCTCTTGGGTGCGGGGTTCGTGATCTCTTACCCAGTCCCGTACATTCTGAACGGTGGTGGCAAAAAATTGTTCCATTAGTATTTGCTGGAGACGTCTTCCAGGGTCTTTGCCTCACACCCCTGGAGCCAATTTTGTGTGGCTCGACTTATTCGATGAGCCCATTCAGTGTGAGTGTCTCTTGACCCTACCCTGGCTTCTCTGAACTTTCGGTGGTATGTGTCTGGGGTGATGGCGTACCGTGCCAGTAGTAGTCTCTTTACCTCCGGGTAATCTCGGCTCCATTCCTCTGGTATCGCCCGGTATGTCTCTGCCACTCTGCTAATCAGTTTCCCTCCCAGGATGGAGCTCTACCTGGTGTAGTTGGCAATGCCGTTCGAAGACCTGTAGGAACCTATCGATGTCCCCCACTTGGTCGTCGATGGTCTTAAAGGACTGGTGTGTGACCTTGATGCTTCTGTAGGAGCCGGAACTTCTGCGGGATCGCACCTCATCTGATATGCTAGCCATAGCTGTGACTCTGCTAATGGCCAGTTCCTCAGCTTGTTCTCTCTCTGACACTGCCATGATCCAGTCTACCACTTAATGGGGGGTGTTGGGTCGTAGAAGGCGAGTCGTTCTTTCACCCGTCAGGATAGCTCATCAGAGGTCATCTGGGGTGTCAGGAAACTGGCTGGGTCATTGGTTGGATTGGGTGATCCATCCTGATCTAGGTTCACTAGAGCTGCAATTAGTTCAGGTTTCTTTAGTCTCTCTGGCTCTTGTCCCTTTTCCGCCATTAGTTCTTGTAGGGAGGCTACAGTTAATTGCCTGTAGTTCTCTGCCATCTTTGTCTCTGTTGGCTTTCCGCTGAAATTCCTTGCTGAACTTGGTTTGTATGGAGCATCCCACTTCCAAACACCATTGTCACGGGTTCATGAGTCTATTGCTGTTATTCCTTCAATCCTCCACTAGTCCTAACTCCAGATGTGCTGAATATAGTAAAAGTATTCCTTTTGTGTAGAGTTTCCCCAATATAATCGACGCAATCAGTCGTATTGGGTAAAAGCAGCAATTTGAACTTTATTAGGCTTCTTATGCAGGGGTTTCCTTCCCACAAGCCATGGTGTTTGAGAGATAATTGAGCTCCAATTAAGCTAATCCAATCATCTCTCAAATAGGAAGACTTACATACAGTTTTTACATAACACTTCCGGGTTCGGCACTCAGCTGTGAGGAGCCGGACCCCGCCCCCCTATGACACAGCTCTGACGGTATTTAGGGAGACTGGGCCAGAGAGAGGGTGCTTGGTGATTGTGTGTGAGCTAATGTGTGAGCTGCCTCCGCGAGACCGCGGGCTCCACAGGCTCAGCTACTGGGAGCTACTTTCACCAGACTTACCTCTCCACAAGCTCAGACAAGCCGTTCCAGCCTTTGAGCCAATGCAAGGATTGCTGCATGCCATAAAGGATTACTGGAGAACGGATACTTTGTTACTTTACAAGTGGACCATATCTCTGAACTATTGGAGGACTACACATATTAACCTTAAGTATATCTTTCAGCTATTTGTCTACAATATCATTTAATAATGAACTAATGCTTGCTTACTCAAATCTTCACTGCTGCAAACTGCTAAGTATATGGAGGACAACTCCCATCATGTTTATTCACTATGAACTGTTTCTTGCTTTGCAAAGACACTCAATGCTTCAAGCTACTAATTATATGGAGGACAACTCCCATCATGTTTATTCACTATTAACTGTTCCTTGCTTTGCAAATACACTCATTGCTTCAAGCTACTAATTATAAGGAGGACAACTCCCATCATGTTTATTCACTATTAACTGTTCCTTGCTTTGCAAATATTCTCAGCTACTTGCTTATTGTTTCTATTGAAGATTATTCTCATGAACTTAAAGAATGTTACTTAATGCATCTCTGAGGAAATACTTAATAATGAACTTTGTGTTGTTGATTACTTGCACTTCTTCCTATTGGATTATTGCCTAAATGCAATTCATTTAGGTTTAACACTTATTAAAACTTTGGTTGAATCAAGTTACCAGTGATTCTCTCTTTTTTTAAAGCTACAGTATTGATACTTTAAAGATTCTCTGTTTCTTCACAATTGTAATTAGGGAGTTTACAAGCTGCAGTTGAGTTCCAATCCAAATCACCCAAGTAGCGTAACAATATCACAAAAATACATGACAACAGCATCAGAACCCCACAAAAATGATAGTCCCGATCTAAGCGCATCTCCCGGTAAAACGAAAGTTATGTTCGTGCATATATGAACTGGCTGCCTGGTAGACGTGGTATTGTCAATTTCAAAGGGGGTTAATTTGATTGTATGGGAGGTCAGAGCTTACAACCTAAATTCCTCTTTGATGCTGGGACCCCATATATATATATATATATATATATATATATATATATATATATACACCACCCCCCCTACGCTTCATGATAGGAGGGCCGGAGGAAAGCTCAATGTGTGACAAATCCTGCTTGTAAGGGTGATCAGGACCGTTTGTGTGTATAAGTTGTGACCTAAAGCTAGCTCTTGTCAGGTAATTGTTGTCTGAGCTTAGTTTGGATGTATGATCACTTGTGCTACAACGGCTGAGATAAGGATCAAACCTCTTTACTAATACAGTGGCTGGGAATAGCGCCTGTCAGTGCCCCTGACGCACGTTTTGCCACTCTGGCTCATCAGAGGCTTATCCCCTATGATGAGCCAGAGTGGCGAAATGCGCGTCAGGGGCACTGACTGGACTGAGAGTTCGTCAGCGTATAAAATTTAAATAAAACCAGACAATAAAAATTAATAATACTCACAAAGGAGGAGCACAGTAAAGTTATAGTTCAGGTGGTATCTTCCCCACCTAGGAAACCAATGTATGAATCCTCCTTTTGAAAAATCTTCAGAGATAAAAACAGGAAGGTCCAAATTGGATAACAGCTAGTTTTAATTATAACCTAAATAATAAAACCAAAAGTATAGTATAAAACACTAACACATTTCACCTTTACCCAGGCTTTTTAAAAGTGTTTCAGAAATATGGACCTGTCCTGTTTAAATTGCTTATAAATTCAAAAATAACTGACAGGTGATGTCATCAGTCATGTGGCCAGCCTTTCAATTAACATAAAACTTGAGTATAATGCAATATGCATACGAGAGCTGAGAAAGGGTATAGAAATGCTTAAATTGATGTAAAAATCACTTAGAAATGAAATTTTATAAATAAAAACTGGAGAAAAAAGTGGGTGAGGTAACTTTAAAAAGGTGTACCAAGATGGCTGCCACAATACTAACTATAAGAGTTTTAAGCTGGCCACCCCCGCCTTGTAAAGCCGAGCTGCAGAATGTGTAGAAGAGGTAAGATTTTAAGAATCTATAGAATGTAAGCTCGATTGAGCAGGGTCCTCTTCAACCTATTGTTCCTGTAAGTTTATTTGTAATTGTCCTATTTATAGTTAAATCCCCTTTCATAATATTGTAAAGCGCTACGGAATCTGTTGGCGCTATATAAATGGCAATAATAATAATAATAAGAAGAAGAAGAATCCAGGAAAATAACTAAATAATAATAATAAATGCTTTATTAAATGTTTTATTATATATATTTTCACTGCCGTATTGAAGTGTCTTGGAAAAATATAAAAAAAAAAAAATGTATGATGTGAGGTAACTACGTTCCAGCATGTGCCGGCCATAATTAATTGACACCCATATGTACCTTCACTACAGGAACTAATGCCCAGAGCCAGAAAGGCAGATAAAATGCATACAACGCAGGGATACAATACTCCAGAGACTCTGTGTGGCCCTCTCTGCATAGCCACGAATTACGGTTCACCGAGAGCCATGATTCACACACAACCATGATTCATAAACAGCCACGATTCAGAGACAGCCACAATATATGAACAACCAGGATTCACAGACAGCCATGTTGCATAAACAGCTATGATTCTCAGACAGCCATGATTCACACACAGCCATGAATCAGAGACAGCCACAATTCACAGACAGCCATGATTTACAGACAGTCACGATGCACAGACAGCCATGATTTACAGACAGTCACGATGCACAGACCACCATGATTCACAGACAGCCACGATTCACAGATCACCATAATTCACAGACAGACACGATTCACAGGCAGCCACGATGCACAGACCGCCATGATTCACAGACAGCCACGATGCAGAGGCAGCCACTATACACAGCCATGATTCACAGACAGCCATGATTCACAGACAGCCACGATTCACAGACAGTCCTGATTCACAGGCAGCCACGATGCACAGACCGCCATGATTCACAGACAGCCACGATGCAGAGACAGCCACGATTCACAGACAGTCCCGATTCACAGACAGCCACGATGCATATACCGCCATGATTCACAGACAGCCATGATGCACACACAGCCATGATTCATAGACAGCCACAATTCACAGACAACCATGATGCACAGACCGCCATGATTCACAGACAGTCACGATTCACAGACAGCCACAATGAACAGACAGTCCCGATTCACAGACAGCCATGATTCACAGACAGCCACGATTCACAGACAGCCATGATGCACAGACCGCCATGATTCACAGACAGCCACAATGCACAGACAGCCATGATGCGCACACACAGCCACGATTCATAGACAGCCGCAATTCACAGACTGCCATGATGCACAGACCGCTATGATGAACAGACAGCCACGATGCACAGACAGCCACGATGCACAGACAGCCACGATGCACAGACAGCCACGATGCACAGACAGCCACGATTCACAGACAGCAACAATTCACAGACAGCCACGATGCACAGACCGCCATGATTCACAGAGTCATGATTTACAGACAGCCACAATGCACTGACTGCAGAGCAATCTCTTCTATCTGTCTGTCTCTGCCTGTCTCCCACTTAAATTTGCCTGCTATATGGGTTGTTATGACTGGTAGGCCTATGGGAATCGCTCCAATAAAGACAGAAAGCATATTTGTTCAAGTGCCTGAACATCTTCGTCTAAAACCGACATAATTTAATCTTCTGAATACAAGAGAGATATATCCCTTAAATGTCTTCTTTCCTAGAATTTTCAATGCCTGCTTTATGCTTCTTTTCTGAAAAATATATTGACAGATCCCTGATGCTTGCTTTGTATCCCTTCACACTGGATTTAAAACACTATTTTACAAAATTCTGTAATTGATTCAAGGTAAATAACTAAACAGAGAGGATAGCTTTATTTCAGAGATTAGGGCATTTCAGTATTCATAGATTGTTTTTACTGTGTTTTTATAACTAGCTAAAGATTGTCTGTGGTTCCATTAGCCGCAGTGGAAGCCCAGCTCCCTGCAGAACACAGGCTCTTATACTAAAACATATATTTTTTATTAGTCGTATTTATTGCTTGTTGTTTTTTCTTTTTTTTAATACAGATTGAATAAAGCAATAAGCAAATTAACACAGATCATGGATAAATCACCACCATTACAACAGGTATTCCTCAAAGTAAATAAAAGGTCATCCTGCTTTCCTAACTCATAAGTCAAACTGAGAGGGAATGTAGACAGCAGCCACGCTGGTATCCTCCGGTCTAATGACGGAGCTGAAATGTGAATAGCTCTATTCCCACCCGTAACTGGACGACACACAGTTCAGCTCAGACACAGCCTTTTTATGCCCATCAAGGGGTCTCCATACAAAACATACACAAGCCCCTCCAAGGCGACACTTTGTCTGAGAAATAATTGAGTCTAAACTGAGTAACTCAATTATCTCTCAGGTACTGAAAAATATATAACATATACATAATACACCACAAAAACATATTCATAATTCACAGGAATCCCACAATCAATATATCCCCGAATAGTGCTGATCTGAGCATCCAACATATCCAAATAGCGCTCAGATCTGTTTGGTAGAACGGAATCGCCATTTGGGTTCTGAGCAGCCACGAGGCGATAACCCAAAACAGTTCTATGAGAATGAGGGTAACGGCCAGTGGGCTTTCGGGGGTTCCTGTGAGAACACTGACGAACGCTCCCCCTGGCTTTTGGGGAGCAAATGCTCCCCCCAGTCAGTAGTTTATATCTCCCGAACGTCGTTCATCTAGGTGGTCGGGAAGTAGAACAGGCAGCGGTACGAACTCCGCCAGGGTTTCGCCAGTGGTCGAAAATAGTTTCAGGCATTCACCCATCATGTACCGCTGCCTGTATACATTATCAGTCAATGTGTATGAGCTCAGGAATAAAGGAAGAGACCATGTGTAGAAAGGGATGAAAGAGATGTAAAGGAAGAAAGGACGACAAAGAAAGTATGAGAGATCTCGTAATAAACAGGAACTTGGAAGTGTATGGCAGCTGATGAAAACCATATTCCTGGTGGCAATAACTATTGTCCATGGGGCCTGCAGGCCGTTCTGTCTATCAGAAAATAACCCCATCACCATTCGGCTAATTGTACTCCCTTCTATCAGCCTTCCCCAGTAATTTGTTCCTTTTGTTGTTCCATTTGTTAATTTGTTCGGTTCCCGAACCGAGACCACCCCAGAGACTAATTAGAACTAAGAACACCATGTATCTATATGAAAACCGAAGACTAATTGAATGCTCCTAGGTGGCCGCCATTTTGTGCATACGAATACACGTGGTGAGAACAATGGGTGGCAGCCATGTTGTCTCCCAAACGCTGCCTGCGGGACTTGGTCGTCGAGTGCCTGGAACTGTGCTACGATCTCTTTCCCAGCCACTTAGACAAACGGCGTTCGGGACTTTCAAACTACCGAACACAAGGAGCATTCTTCACAAACCAGAAATATTTTACCTATTGCGGTTTTCGTTTAAAACCTCACAAACAGAGACTGGCTCTTGCTACATTTCTTCTGGAACTGTTTCCTGGCTTCAACCTCATGGCAGACCGGTCAACTCTCTCTGCGGTGCGGATTTGGCTG